CACACACACACACACACACACACACACACACACAGGTCAACATACTGCAGATGCAGATAAGAAAATCAAGCAAACAATGGTTTATATTTAAACGTTTGGCAGACACAATCATTCATAGCGACTCACACTGCATTCAATCTATACATCTGTTTGATCGGTTCATGTATTCACTGGGAACCAAACCCATGTCCTTCCACCATCCTGAGCTACAGCTGAGCTTCACACACACACTCTCTGATTTTACAGAAATGTTTGTTAGATTATTACATAATCATCCCAAGACCTCCTCATTCACACACCTGCACTATAAAAACCCATAACCTTCAGTATCACGATTCCTGTAATCATGTGAAGGTTTGACTATTTAAAACGGTCTTCACTTACAGTGAAACCTGTTGAGTCACTAGAGCTCATGAATCACATTTAAATCTGGTGTTTTACACAGGTTTCTCTCAGGGTTGGATTAGGAGTCAGAGGTCAGGTTAGAACACAGAAAATAGCATTAACCTGACAGAAAAACAGTGAAAGCCTATGTGTGTGTGTCTATATATATGTGTGTGTGTGTGTGTGTGTGTGAGAGTGACTATATATGTGTGTGTGCGTGTGTACACGTGTAAATGTGTGTGTGTGTGTGTGTGTGAGAGAGTGTCTGTGTGAGTGTTTGTGTCTGTATATGCGTGCGTGTGTGTGTCTGTATATGCGTGCGTGCGTGTGTCTGTATATGCGTGCGTGCGTGTGTACACGTGTATATGTGTGTGTGAGTATGTGTGTGTGAGTGTGTTTGTGTCTGTATATGCGTGTGTGTGTGAGAGTGAGTGAGAGAGTGTGCGCATGTGTCTGTATATGTGTGCGTGCGTGTGTGTGTCTGTATATGCGTGCGTGTGTGTGTGTCTCACCGTTTCTGCAGGTCTTGTTGTCGTCCAGTAACTGGACACCGGTCGGACAGGCACACTGGTAATAAGGTTTGACCGGAGACAGCAGACATAGATGAGAACATCCTCCGTTCTTCAGCGCACAGGGACTCGTCACCTCTGTCACACACACACACACACACACACACACACATCAGACGAGGAAAACAGCATGAGAACATGACGACGTGTAAGCGTGTCCAACAGACTTGATTCACAGATAACAGTAAGGGTGTTTCACTGATCAAACCCTCTAAGACTCTCTCTCTCTCTCTCTCTCTCTCTAACACACACACTCATCAACTCACACACACACACACTCTCTCTCTCTCATCAACTCACACACACACACACACACACACACACTCTCTCTCTCTCTCTCTCATCAACTCACACACACACACACAAACAGATTTTTTTTTTAAAGTTCATTTAGCAACAGGGAATTCGTAAGAACTCGGGAGGAAGGGAAAAAATAAAATTCTCCAATGCATTGCAATTCTCTCTTCAATGATTTAAAACCATTTTAAAATAAAAATACAAAAACATGATTAAATCATGAAATACAATATAAATTTTTTTAAATAATTAAAATAATCACATATTAAAAAACACAAAAATGGAAATTATAAATAATTTTAAATAAAATTGATTGGATCATGAGGTGCCTAAAGATTGAGAAACCGCAGGAAAAGCAGAGGAAGACGGTGAGAAAGATCTGCAGCGAGAGCAAGAGACGGAGGATTCTGTCAGCGCTGTGAGAAATTCTCTGCGTTCAATCGGAGGACAGAACAGACGCTCCATTGTGTGCAAGAAGCCAAACCAGGAGTCGTGTGTCATAATCATTTCTGCAGAGGCTCGAATCCAGCAGCGTTCAGGAAACTACTCTAGGAGCACTATGGGAAGAACAGGATACACACACACACACACACACACACACACACACACAAACACGTGCACACACACAAACATTCATTTCACACTCACGCGCACACACAAACACACACACACTCGCACTCTCACAGACACTCACTCACTCTCTCACACTCACGCGCGCACACAAACACACACACCCTCACACTCGCACTCTCGCAGACACTCACTCACTCTCACGCACACACCCTCACACTCGCACTCTCGCAGACACTCACTCACTCTCACGCACACACCCTCACACTCGCACTCTCGCAGACACTCACTCACTCTCACGCACACACCCTCACACTCGCACTCTCGCAGACACTCACTCACTCTCACGCACACACCCTCACACTCGCACTCTCGCAGACACTCACTCACTCTCACGCACACACCCTCACACTCGCACTCTCGCAGACACTCACTCACTCTCACGCACACACCCTCACACTCGCACTCTCGCAGACACTCACTCACTCTCACGCACACACCCTCACACTCGCACTCTCGCAGACACTCACTCACTCTCACGCACACACCCTCACACTCGCACTCTCGCAGACACTCACTCACTCTCACGCACACACCCTCACACTCGCACTCTCGCAGACACTCACTCACTCTCACGCACACACCCTCACACTCGCACTCTCGCAGACACTCACTCACTCTCACGCACACACCCTCACACTCGCACTCTCGCAGACACTCACTCACTCTCACGCACACACCCTCACACTCGCACTCTCGCAGACACTCACTCACTCTCACGCACACACCCTCACACTCGCACTCTCACAGACACTCACTCTCTCTCTCACACTCACGCGCGCACACACACTCGCACTCACAGACACTCACTCACTCTCACGCACACACACACTCACACTCATGCGTGCACACACACACACACACACTCTCTCAGACACAGAAACACTCATGCGCGCACACACACACACACTCACTCACGCGCACACACACACAAACACATTCATTTCACACTCACGCGCACACACAAACACACACACTCACAGACACTCAATCACTCTCTCACCAGACACTCACTCACTCTCTCACACTCACGCGCGCACACAAACACACACACTCACACTCGCACTCTCAGACACTCACTCACTCTCTCACACTCACGCGCGCACACACTCACGCGTGCACACACACTCGCACTCACAGACACTCACTCACTCTCACGCACACACACTCACACTCACACTCATGCGTGCACACACACACACACTCTCTCAGACACAGAAACACTCATGCGCGCACACACACACACACTCTCTCACACTCACGCGCACACACAAACACTCGCACTCTCAGACACTCACTCACTCTCACGCACACACCCTCACACTCGCACTCTCACAGACACTCACTCTCTCTCTCACACTCACGCGCACGCACTCACTCACCCACTCACTCACTCACATACATACATTCACACTCACGCGCACACACAAACACTCGCACTCTCAGACACTCACTCACTCTCACGCACACACCCTCACACTCGCACTCTCACAGACACTCACTCTCTCTCTCACACTCACGCGCACGCACTCACTCACCCACTCACTCACTCACATACATACATTCACACTCACGCGCACACACAAACTCACTCACACTCACGTGCACACACAGAAACACACACTCTCGCTCACACGCGCACACACAGAAACACTCACACACACTCACGCGCGCACAACGAAACACACTCACACACACACTCTCGCTCACACGCGCACACAGACACAGACACTCACACTCACAGATCTCTTACCCAGCGGCTGCCGCTTCTGGCTGTAGACGTGTATGTCCATGGGTGAGAAGATGTTGGTGTGGATCTCGTGGCTGTTCTCTCCCGTGTGTTTGAGGCAGGCGTGGATGGAGTGTGTGTTCCAGTCCGTCCAGAAGAGCGTGTCCTCGTATAGCGTCAGCGCGAACGGGTGCGGCAGAGAGCCCTTCACCACCACCTCCCTGAGAACACACACACACACACACACGTGAGCTGACGGACACGCACCGCACGCGGACTAGGGGTGTGCAATATATATCGTCTGCGATAATATCGTAAATTCGTAATTGTTATTTTAACAATGTGCAATTTGACATTATCGAGTAATTCGCAAAAACCAAACAAAATACCCCTACAGAGCATACGCATACATTAGAGTTTTATTAATTCTATTATTTATTCTTTTATTTATTCATTAATTAAAACGGATTTATAAATGTTTTCATTCACAATCTCACCACAGGCAGACACGCGTGTCATGTTCGTGTTTGTGTGTTCTGTCTGCGTCACTCACAGCACGTGCCTATATCAAACATTTTTTCTATCGTTATCGATGGAGTACCGTTGATAAATATCGATACCATTTTATCGCCCAGGCCTACGTTTTGTGTTTAAAATATCAAAACATTATCTATGCATTTGTAACTGCAGGTTAAAGCATTCATGTCCTGCATTAAACAGTGTGTAAACACATCTAAACGCCTCTTCAGACGCAGCTTCTGTGTGTCCTCTGCGCTGCAAAGATTCATTTTGTTGATACGGATTTCATTTGCTTGGTAATTAACAGCCCACAAATGTCGTCTTATTCTAATTGACTGATTAAAAGTAAGAATTTGACTCAAAAGATGATGCACACTTTTAGAAAAAATGACTTTATAAAATGTAAAAATAATCTGATGGCGTTACCTGCCCGAGCCGTCCAGGTTGCAGCGGTGGATGAAGCTGAACTTGGCGTCGGCCCAGTAGAGTTTCTGCAGCTCGTAGTCGAGCGTCAGGCCGTTGGGCCAGTATATCTCAGAGTCGATGAGGACCGAGCGATGCGTCCCGTCCATCCCAGCGCGCTCGATCTTCGGGACCTCACCCCAATCCGTCCAATACATGTACCTGAGAAACCAGAAACAAGCGATAGTCACAGGGCCCTATGATTTCCACGAGGCAGAAAACACAGACAGAAGCGCGGAATTTATTCATTTACTGAACAACACAGAATTTGCCACATTTTGGACGGATACATCAAAAGTAGGTCAGTACAGTTCAATCTAAACATGATATGGACGAGTGTCTGAAGATTAAGCTGCAAAAATACCATTTAAATATGAACACTATATGTTATGTGCGTCTCTGTGTGAAAGAATGTTTAGTTTACTGCACAAATACTGAGCCTCAGCCGTCTCAATATATGAGCACATAATCTCTAGAACTGCTCTGAGAGAGTCACTTCATGAGCACTTCACCGATTCTTTTGAGAAAAACTATCATCATATCATATATAATGATTACAATCAGAAACTTAAAAGGTCTTCAGAGCAACCCGTCACAATAAAAGTTTGGTTAACTGGAAGAAACTGTGACAGAAATATTACTTACTGTAATGATAATATTACTGCTAATAATTATTATTATTAAAATTATATTTAACGAATATTTACCAGAAAAAATATTTACCAGAATTTATTTAGCAGGAGAAAATGTCAATACACAACACAGTATTTCTGAAAAAGAAATAAAATAATAAATAAATTCTTTATTAAATTGATTAATTAGAGATTCTTTTGATTATTACAATTATAATGAACCCATTAAAATGGAGTATTTGGTAAAAAAATTAAAACAATTTCAGAAAAAAATAAAACATTTCATAGGGCCTTAAAAATTTAATTTTTGTTAAACCTGCAATAAATTGCTGTTAAATTGTGTAACCTTCATGATTTCAATTAATTAGACATGCCGTTTAAATACAAATTTAATTTAATCATTAAAGGGCACCTATTATTGCAAAATTCAATGTTACATGTTGAACATAAATGTGTGTTAGCAGTGTGTGCACAACCCCCCTATAATGATAAAAACACATCTTATTACAGCTATAGACGTGATTCAGTCCAGAGCAGCGAGTGATTTTCTGCTTTTATTTTATTGTTTGGCTCCATGTATTATTAACAGCGTAGTCAGCAGTATAAGTACTGTATATCATGCTGCTGTCGCTTAATACACAGATCTAATATAAACATGCGATTTCTCTCCCAGCGGTTTACCTTCACAGACACAACCAACTGTTTTTGTAACTCGTGCGTGTTTTTAATAAACTTGTGTGAAAGAGAACTGCGTTTAGTGCCATGTAACAGCCGCTTTCTGTGCGTGTGCTTCGGATGTGTGCGCTCAACAAACTGTACATCAGAAGCGTCAACTGATATGGTTTAAAACGCATGATTTCAGCACGATAAACATGATAATCAGAACAAAACAGATGTTTTTAGCAGGTCCGAGCTGTAATGGCGCAGCTCTATTCTGGAAAAGGGGGCGGGGAGCAGCAGCTCATTTGCATTTAAAGAGACAGGCCCGAAAAACAGCGTGTTTCTGCCTCCACTCAAAACAGGCATTTTCAAAATGATATAATAAATTATCTGTGGAGTATTTTGAGCTGAAACTTCACAGACACATTCTGGGGACACCAGAGACTTATATTAAATCTTGTAAAAAGGGGCATAACAGGTGCCCTTTAAGACAGAGTCTAGGAAAACTCAAACAGAATTTGGAAAAAATAAAACGGATTTCATAGGGCCCTAAAGTCAGATGAGGAGCAAAAACGCATCGCATTAAACACATTCACAGCATCTCACCGCAATCAATGCGTCACAGAGCGGCTTCATTCTGCGTCTGATCAGTGAGTTTGCTCACACACACACACACACACACACCTTCTGCGCAAACATGCATCTTGTGAAAACCATTTCAACTTTAAGACACGATGACGTCCAAAGAGTTTATCAAACTCTAAATGATGGCCTGTAACGTGAGGAGAAACACAAACACAGACGAAACCCATCAGTGAAACTCTGAAAAACAGCATGTGAACCACAACCACTGACGACCTTTGACCTTTGGCAGAACGGGTTAGGTGAGCCGCACGAGGGTCAGGGAGGTGATGTTATATTTAGGTGGAGAACCAGTTTACCCTGCAACTCAAACTACTGCACTTATAAACAAGATGTTCCACTAACCAACCCGGTTAAATCTACCATGTCACATGACTTCATGTCACATGACTGCACAATCAAACCGGCGATCGGCTCTTTGAACAGAATCAATGCCATAGTGATCATCTAACCAGCTCATTTATAATTCCTATGAGAACAATTCACAATCTGGGTGTGAGTGTGTGTGTGTGTGAGAGAGAGAGTGAGTGAGTGAGTGTGTGAGAGAGAGAGTGAGTGAGTGAGTGAGTGAGTGAG